TAAATTCCGTCTGATTTTATAAGGTAAGTTTTAATACTAATATATTGTTAAATAAGATTTTTCCTTTTCATATTAATTGTAGTCTCTGTGAAATTATTCACTTAATAGTTTTAAATTGTTCATCGGGCCGGTGGTGTAGCGGTCTAACGCGCTTATATTCATTTATAGGCAAGTTTATGTGTCAAAGACTGCTGGGCTTCGAATCCCAGACCAGACCATGTGGATTTTTAATTAAATTGCATGGTTCGGTATAGGATTTGATGTGTGCCGTATTAATAGAAATTCAATTTCTGTTGATATGACATGCAGATTATAAAAAATCGCCATACATTACCGTCTCGATGATGGTGGGTGAGGTTTTCCGGGTTTTCCTCACCTGTAGGTCAAATGGCACCATCAATCATATTTAAGTCGCCCCGGAGCGCCACGGCAAATAATAATAATATCCGTCCCTTTCCCCGCACAAGCTCAGCTTTTGGGGTTAAAATTCACTCGTAAGGGGGTGAATTAGGGAGAGTATTATTATTATTATTATTATTATTATTATTATTTATTATTTAAAAGCATTTTATCTTAATCCTGTTCCAATTTCCTATTTCCTATCCTAACATTTTAACCTTTTCTTTTTAGTATTGGCTATATCTAGACGGTTTATTTCGATTTATATATAGACAGTTTAATTGGATCTATATCTAGACAATTTATGTGGATTTATATCTAGAAGTTTTATGGTTTTTATACCTAGAAGTTTGGTACAATCTGAAGACCGTGGTTTGGTTCATCGATAGAAGATCCAGAATTAAGAATAAGGATACCGAATCCCTTTTAAGAAGGCCTGAATAATACCATGCAATAGCATTCCTTATTTTACCTTCTGTTAACAAAGATAAGTGCATTTAAATAAATCATCTAAATTTGAATTTAGTAAAACTATGTGAATTAGAATTTGCTACTACCTTATCTAAAACTTGGTTTAAATATAATTTGTTAGTGGTTAGTGATTTTCTATATTTTTATCACTAATCTAAAGTCAAGTATAGTAAGTTTAAAATATAGTGGTGCCCAAATTCAAGTTATTTACAAACCTGACCCACGCCCAAAATTCAATTGAGCTTAAACACACTATAACAAATAGATAAAATATCAAGTATCACGTTACACGTTTAGGAAATGCAATTGATAAATGAAATGTTAACATTTGCTGTAATGGTGCACCATCGTGCATAAACCACATTTTGTGACTAATTAATAGTGGCACATCTTCAAGTAAGGCAGGTAACATTTGTTGTGAGAAATTTAAATAATTTTCCCTATTTAAATGATATGGTATTACGATAGGTCCAACATTGTCAATAATTCCAGCTCAGATATTAATGTTGAACGTATGTTGAAAATGGACAATTTTCGTTGCTATCGGAGTTTCGTTATCGTTATCCTGGTGGTAGGTATGTAAATTAGTTACGCTATATCTAACAAAAAAAATCTTAGTCAGTAAACACAATTATGTTGGATTCTCTCATTTTGAATAATTTTAAAAAAAATTACACGCATTGCAAGATTCACGGATAAAAGTTCTTGCACCAACATGGTAAGGATACATTAATTGTTCTTTTAAAACTTCACAAACAATATTTTTGGGTACAACCATTTTGTGTTTTACAAATCTCATATTAACTATCGGATACTATTTCTTACTCAACTTCTTCAATAAAGTTCTTGTTGCACGCAGTTACCCTTGATTCTTATTCCTTGATTCAAATCTACCCTTTTCCCCAAGTAGCCTTTCAATATTTGCAAATTATTCGTTGATACCATCTTTCATAATAGTAAGTATGAAAAGTTCACATCAATTTTTAAAAGGGTAGGTACATCATGAAGCCATTGAACAACAGTGACTTATTTTGACTAAACACGCCATAGTTTACTATTTTAATGCCAGAAATGTCCTAGTTTCTGGCAGAATGGCACCATGCCTATTCCAAAAGCCAAAAGTGTAAAAAAACCATATAGTAACTAGGAAAAATGCCCGTTGCACTCTCTTTAATGAGATCCTACTGATCGCTATAGAAAAATTGTTCCTGCAGCTTTATTGGCCATAAAACGCCTAGTATTTGTACCAAGTATGATCTTTTAAAATTGTGATTTCTGAATATTTAAGAAAAAAATATCTTTTTATTTAACTCTGTTGATCTCTACCAGCCCAACGCAGCAAGTTGGTATATAGGTAAGTCTGATTAAATCAACCTATTTTGAGCCCATGAATCTACAGTAGTGCCATATATTATAATTATGTACGATAATAATTATTATTAAAACACTATGTAGTTTTGTATTTTATTATAATTCTCAACCATGATGAAGGATAGAACTAATTCATGATCTTGATCATAAAGTGATAGTCGCCTCATTGACCACTATCAAGGGCGTTCCGTAATCAAGAGTGGGATCCAGATCCACACATCAACAATGTACTCAAAATTTCTGCACACCCTGTATTTTATGATCGAATAATAACAATATAGTATAGTAGTTTGGAATTTCCGCTTTTCTAACAAATGAATTAAATCCATCGACATTATTTTACAATTTTCATAATTTCTATTCATCTAGAGTACAAAACTCCCACGCATCATCATTAAAAAAGCAGTAAAGGATCCGGAATGCACTTTCTATTCTAATTTTTATTGCCATTTAATGATTATTCTAGTTGCTTTTGGGAAATGAAAAGTATATTTAAATTCGCCGTTGCATCTGCATCCAGCGGAAAAACCTTTTCGGTCCGGATACAGCTATCTCCAATTAAATAATGCATTAATCTAAGTATGATTGCATGTTTGCAAGTTCGTTAACCGATTTGAGTGTTTTTAGTAAATAGTTAGCTAGATTTAACTGCAGAATACTCGAATGTATTCATCTCTGTTTCCATCACTGTTGTTTATTTACGTGGGTGTAGGTAAATGCAATTGTAAAATAATAGAAGAGTTAAAAAGCAATGCTTGAAACGTATACTTATCCCTCTGACGTAAATGTAGAAATGGGCATTAAACTTGTAATCTAGATTTATAACAAGCTAAATAAAATTATTGTTTATAACTTAACATAATTAAAATTTAATTTCTAAATAACTTTATAATCTTACTTTTGAAAATTAGGAGATGTTTGTCAGGTATGGAGGAAATTTTGATTTGAGAAGCTTTAAATGATGATGATGAAGATCACAACAATCAATGTGAGAGTACTAGAATAAATTTCTAAGGTGGCCAAAAACCAATTAAAATACATTAATATTGTTACTTCGATGATACATTATTGAAGTATACGTTCACAAAATATTTACCTCATTATTATTTTATTTTTGAAGCTAAATTGATGATTTATGATGATATTTTAAAAAAAGTTGAAAATGCTCTTCCTAAAGGATTGAGAGCTTTGAAAGCTGCTCTTTCGTTTCTCACAACTAAGCGTAGCAAAACATTTGAAGGCAGACAGAATGGAAGAAATATTTGAAAAAAAAATAACTCAAGTTGTTTAAATTAAGAATTATGACCGTTGATTACAGTAAAAGATCTTCTTCATTGTGAGGTCCAGGTCGGCTTCTATTATCTTCTTCAGCAAAATCTGATTTACAACTTCAAAAAAAAAACTTCTATCTATTCCACCAGAAGTAAGAAGTTTGTTAGCCTAAACATGAAGATAAGTAACTCTTCTAGTTTTAATGACAACTCACAAAATTATAACCCTGATGCGGTTAAAGAAATTGAAGAAACACGGTTATTAAGAACCTGCATTCACTTGGATGAACTTCAATTATCAAATGAAAAATGTGATATAAATTAAGGCCCTTTTCAGGTGGTCTTCCTGTTTATATGTAATAGTGAGATTTGGGAACATCCTGAATTTAAGATATTGTAAATAGTTACTATTGTAAGAGACTTGCCATTAGCAAGCACTCTGAATTGTGGAATTTGAAAATAATTTGCTAGAAATATTGTAAATAGTTTTTCTATTAATTTATTTATGGATAATTTTTGTGCGCCATATTGTATCAATCATTTTGATTTACCAAATTTCTGACATTAAATCCTTCTATACGAAATTTCATGTAAGTTAAGGAACAATTATTTACAATTTTCGTCGGCCATTTTGAATTAGCCATTTTGAATTTTGATTTAGAAGAAACGGCCTCAGAAACTTTCACATCCTAAATCCAAAGCATATACTTTAGAATTTAGAATTTCGGCCACTTTCGAGTGCTTCTTGGTACATTGCGCAGTTTGCCAGTACGGTCAGCCGTAAACGTAAAATGAAATTCAAGAAAATTGAAGTGAGAAAAACACGGTTGAGATATAAAAAACTGCTTAGTACTTGCTGCGTTAAATAAGAAGCACCTTCTTATGTTTTCGGGGTCTTTGCATTTAAATCCAATGCCAATATAATAATATTGACATTTGAAAGCTGTCAACTAACTGTCAAACAGTATGTGATAATCAATATAGATAAAATCCATATGTAAATATGTCTTCGAGGGTGCTGAGTTCAAAATTGATGTCAAAAAGACGATATTGACAGTGATCAGCTGTCAACTAAATATTAAACAGCATGTGACAATCAAAATTAATAAAATCCACATGTAAACATATGTTTTTGAGGCAGCTGAGTTCAAAACTGATGTTAACAACTCGATATTGACAGTTGACAGCTGTAAAATAACTGTCAAACCACCACAATATTTATTTCTACCGTCGGCGTTAGCGTTACCCGATGTACACCACGTGGAGGTCACGCGATCGGTTTTTGTACATCTTGGCCCTGAAAAGGGCCGATTTTTTTATTGGATCTATGATTTCACGATATTTTTTATCAACCTATTTATAATACAGGATGATATATATCGTCCTATTTTAGAAATAGTTAAAGAAAAATTATCACGAACTTCGATTTGAGTCTTTTAGATTTTTATCAATGCATTTAGGAAAATATAATGTAATATTACAGTTTAGTTATTGTGGACGGTTTCTTGCATTTCGAATAGTATTAACGAGACTAGTTGATGGATAACGAATATTAGCTTCGTGCCTAGCATATCCTAAGAACCATAGGACACTTGCAACATAGACACAAGTACCAACAGTACGAGCATCGGACGGACAAGTGCAATAATAACCGAAAATGGGCTCTTCATTCCGGTTGAATTCATAATCTTCCTCGTTTCCTTCAATCTCATCATTTGGTTTAACGGTGATGCAAAGCTGATGTTTTGTCGCATTCCGGAATCGAGAATAAACTCTAACTCTAAGCAAACCACGCTCGGGCAAGTTGTTCTCGCCTCTAAGCATTTCAAACTGAAACTTTTCATCTGCGTCTCTTTGGAGCTTGTCTTGCACGTAAGAGGGTGCAAGATTTACTTGATATACCCCAGTCGTCAAATCTTGTAAATATTCCAGAGTTAATTGTGGGAATTCCATTAGATGGACAGTATCCATTCGAACCCATCTATTTATGTTTCTAGCAAAAAGATTGTTTACATTTACAAATGCTTGCACTATATCTGGTTCTCTTGCTTTTTCAATTATTCGAAATGCCAATTCAGCATCAGCTCCATTCATATGAATAGTTGGATGGTATCGGTTTATAAGTGCTACAGCAATACGATAATAATCACCTATACTTGGAACATGCTGAACAGGAATAGTTTGTTTTAAGAAGTTAAATATAGATTTTATGTGTCCATGCTGTTTGACAGTTAGTAGACAGCTGATCACTGTCAATATCGAGTTTTTAACATTAGTTTTGAACTTACCAACCTCAAAAATAGATATTTACATGTGCATTTTATCAATTTTGATTATTGCTTGTTGTTTGACAGCTGGTTGACAGCTGTCAACTGTCAATATTGCTATATTGGCATTGGATTTTAATGCAGCGACTCCGAAAACATATGAAGGTACTTCTTTTTTAACGCAGCAAATACTAAACTTTCGTGGAGATTGCCTTTTTAAGTAGTAAATAATGATCAATCCGTGGAGCTTTGGAGCCCCGTAGGAGCCAAAATAAGCAAAATTGAGATTTGTGCCCATTGACACTTTTGCTCAGGATGCCAAAACACACCAGATTTTTTTTTTAATTTTTCTTTGGTTTGTATACTGTAAACTTACTATATACGCCTGACGGATATTTTTAACTCATTTATCTTCAATCTATTAAATTTGTATAGGAAATTTTACACACAAAACAAAGTAATCCATTTCCAGATAAGCAAAGTTTTGATTTGAAACATAAATTCTCGAAACACAAGGAAGAAAAACCGAACATATTTATGAAAGAAAAATACGATAGCGGACCATAATTCAAAAACTTCTAAATGAGTTATTCGCAGCCCACGATGCATCAGACATATATATGTATAGCCGTTGTCCGACAATTCGATAACTACTTATCCACCCTACTTTCTATTTGGGAAAAGTGTAAAAAAGGCCATAAATATCATAAGTTTATTAGTTGTGAAAGAATTATAAGGCGACAGTCACGTTTAATTTCTTTTGTTTATTTGAAATATGTCTTATGTTCGTGCGGTTTTTGGACATTTATATTTAGGTTGATTAACGATGTTTTCAGAAAAAAAATTGTTTTTGTGCTAAGCAATCACCGTTAATCATGTGATTACTTAAACAGAACACCATAGACAATTATCCCAAATAAAAATGATAATAATGATTATTTTGATTCAGCTTTTCTACTTCGTAAAGGTATAATAGTCAAAATATCTATTTTTTATAAAGAAATCAAATCTAAAAGTTTACTGATTCTACCAACCATTTAAGAAGGGTTTTTTTTAAATTTTACAATTTATGCCCTACTGTTAAAAAAACTAGTTCCCTTTTATTAAAACATAAATAGTAATTATTTAATTTTTTTTCTACGTAAACTGTACCTATGTAAGGTTCACCCTGTATATACAGTGTGTCCAATTAAGTCGGAACCATATGAAAAACTTTGTTATTCTTAGTTTTATGAAAAAAGGTAATTCTTTATAAAAAGTTCTGCATGATCTACAACTTGTAATACAATCATCAGATATCAAATTTTTTGAGCCGTATACAAGATTTGTCAAAAAATATGAATTTTTCTCGAGAGTAAAGCACCTTGGTAAAGTGGAAAGCGAGATTTTTTAGAGAAAATTAGTTTCACGTAACGTCATTGTATAATTTCTAGTTGATATAAATGTGTTTTTAGTGCACTTCCCCATATTAAGATTTCATACATTTTAACTAAAGCATGAAGTACAGTTCTCAAGTACATTTTTAAGCTGTTTAAATTTGTACAGTATGATTCTTAATTTGTTTGTATGAGGCGAAATGTTATAATCACACCTAGCTATTTTATTTTGTTAACGGGCAATATTTAAAATGCCTGTAAAATATTTATACGTTAGCAAAGTAGAAGAGTTTCAAGAGAAGGGCAAGTAATTCGTTTTTAGAATGTTTATTGTTAGTAGTTTATACTCTAGTCATTTTTTTATTTTACAAAAAACACTTCCTACCTTTTATTTCAATTCTTCCCATGTGTCTACTTGACAGAATACTGCAGCATCTTCTGCAAAACCAATTATATTTCCCGAGGTTCTTAACGAAAACAGGCCATTCAAATATACACTCACCGACTTAAAATTCGATCCATTTAAAATAATGATTTATTTAAAAATGTTCTAACTTTCAAATGCGGGGGCTGATTTATTTGAAATTTTTAGCAACTTTTAGATAAAATACTGTAGTTTTAAGATTATTATTTGGACATCTAAAAGTAATTTAGTACTCGCCGCATATACAGGGGAGGAGAGAAAACAATTTTTTCCTCTACTTTTGACACACCCTGTAGGTTAATTCTGCAAGTAGATCTGCACACAATTAACTTTATCAAGAAGACTGATTTGTTTTCAACACTTTGTTTTTTATTTACCCCGATATCTTAAGTTTTTTGTAACATGTGACGGTTTAAAGAAAATGCTACATTTTAGAAACGGTCATAATTTAAATATTCGTTGCTTGGCAATTGCAGTTTAATTATCAGCATAACATCATGGTTTTAAGGCCTACTGATGCAGCACAAGCAGTTGCTCTGGTATAAGACGGTAGGTCTCAGTATTATGCTTCTAGAATATTGGGTATTACAAGGTGTAGCGTCCAGAGAGCTGTACAACGTTTCAATGAAACTGGTAGTTTTTCGAGACGTTCTACAAATGTTTGAGATGATCGTTTTGTAACATTAAATGTTTTGCGAGAAAGAAATACTACTGCTTTCATGGCTCTAAATCGTTTAAGAAGTACGTCAAGTAGCTGTTAACAAAATAACGATTCGAAGGCGATTACGAGAACATGGATTACGCTCCAGAAGACCACCTGCAACTCGTCCGGAGTTACTTAGGAATCACAGAACAGCACGTCTTCGATTTGCCAGGGAGCATCAACATTGAAATGTCGATGACTGGAGTAAGATTTTATTTTCTGACGAGTCAAGGTTTTGTTTACGTTCTCCTGATGGCCTTGAAAGAATATACCGAAGAAGAGGTGAAAGGTTTGACCAATTTTTCCACAAGACTCAGTTATGGAGGAGGATCGGTAATGGTTTGGGGCGGCATAAGCATGGAAGCTCGTACTGATTTAGTCATTGTTGGCGGCGGAGCAATGACAGCTAATCGATATATTCGTGATGTACCAGATTCACATGTAATTCCATTTGCACCGTTTATAGGAAACGAATTCATGTTTATGCATGACAACGCTTGACCACATATTGCGAGGATTGTATCTCAATATTTGGACGAAACATAAATTCAAAGAATGAACTGGCCATCACGTAGCTCAGACCTCAATCCAATTAAGCACGTTTGGGACATGATGGGCTGACGAGTTCATAACCGAGTTCCTTCTCCAAGTAATTTAAATTTTTTGAGAGATGCTTTGGCCCAAGAATGGGATCAGATTGACCAGATGGAGATTCGACATCTAATAGAGGGTATGTCACGACGCATTGAGGCAGAATTAACCTACAGGGTATGTCAAAAGTAGAGGAAAAAATTGTTTTCTTTTCCCCCTGTATATCCGGCGAGTACTAAATTACTTTTAGATGTCCGAATAATAATCCTAAAACTACAGTATTTTATTTAAAAGCTGCTGAAAACTTCAAATAAATCAGCCTCCGCATTTTGAATGGATCGAATTTTAAGTCGGTGAGTGTATAATAAAAAGTATGCGTCCGAGTATTGTTCCTTAAGGCACGTGATAATAAATGACTTTTGTATCACTGGTAACATTGTCCACTCTTACAGCTTATTACCTTTACGATTAATAGCTATCAAAAGTTTTAAATACATATTTGTCCCTGATACCTATAACTTCTAGAGACTGCAAGAGTAGACGATTACTTACGGTATCAAAATCCTTAGATAAATCGATAAAAATGCATAAGCATGCATTGCTATCATCAAGAGATCTATTTATTTTTGAAGATAAAGCTAGAAGAGCATCCTGAATTGACATTTTTCTCTGAACCCATACTCTGGCTGTTTGACATGTTATATTTATCCAAATAGGAAACTAACCAAACCTTAATAATTTTTTCAAACATTTTTGTAATATGAGTTATTAGTGATATTGGTCGATAATTATATTATTTACGCCTGTAGAATCTCCCTTTTTAAGCAATTAAATAATTATCGATTTTTTAAAACCCAAAGTATTAATCCAAGTCTAATGGCAACATTATGCCGTAGATTTTGTTTGTAATCTTTTACAACTAGATATATATGTAAGTAATCTTTTTTGTTTAATCTGTTTTTTCTTTCCACCTAAATTTATTTGTATTGTAGGACTGATGATGGCTTGATGTCCAAAACTAGTCGCTTCACAACTCAAACAATTATAAAATACAAGTGGTACAGATTTTGTGTTTCTGTTATTATTCTTTTAAAGTAATTTGACCACATTCGAGAAAATGGATAATCTTTCCCAATTAATATTGTAAATATAAATATTAAATGAATACATTACATAAATGACAAATCTATTAAATCATAATTCATTTTATTTCATCTCAAAACAAGTAAAATAAAAACGAGATGACACGTATATCAAGATTACCGGTTGCTTTCTAATTCCAAAAATAACTGTTTACGCTTGCGACATTTCTACTCAAAGGAAATATCAATGAAGTGTATTTTCAAAATGCCTGCCATAAAATTGTAGATTTATATCTGGGCGGCCAACTTTTCTACATCTGTTTATCAAAAGATTGTAAATTTCGTTACACAACTTTTATATTCGAGCATCTGTTGATACCTATACAACTTGTTGTACAATAAATTTAAAAAGTAGTAAAAATGATAAAGTGGTCTTTATTTTATTATAGTTCCTAATTAGAGTTGTTAAAAGATTAATATGAAACGATCTTCTAACAAATTATTATACTGTCTTATATTTTATGTAAACCCTTTGAGGTCCATTTTGAATTAACATTTCTAAAAAAAATTGTATAGTATTGTTCAACTTAATTTAATGACATAATTTTTACATACAGAGAAGTTGAAAATTGGCAATAACATTTTTCAATAATATTATTAATTTAATTTTGATTTTTATCTATCGTCGAATTATTTATTAAATTAATAATATGATGAAATAGCCTTTATTTAAACAAGCAAAATTAGTGACTATCACAGTTTATACAGGATGAGTCAAAAAGTTGGTATACTCTGTTTGCTGTTTTTTTTTTGATCATATGTTAATAATAGACCAAAAATAATTTAAAAATATACCGTTTATTATTATAAACCATATACAATATGATTAAAAAGATACGTAACTTTTATGTTTAATTATGTATGATAATCGGACAAGTTGAGCCTCAAAGGCCAAATAAGAGAAAGAGGGACTTGGAGGATTAGAGCATGACTGAATAATGAAATAGCTCGCATTACATTTATTTAGCAGTCTGCCCATTTATTTCTACTGTATAGTAATTTAATAGATGTCAGGTGTAAAACTTCCCAGACGTACCAACCGTTTCTTTATATTACAAAAAATTAGTGTCCTATGATTACAACATAATCAAAAATAACCTCACATTTCTACTAAGATATTTATTCTTTATTTTTAATTATTTGGAAAGAACACTTATTATCCTTATTGCCATTTACCAATCAGAACACTAATATTCCCTACTGTCAAAATTTGTATCACGTATTTCATATGTGGATGTTAAATTTTAATGGAGATATTGAATTTTATTTTCTCTAATTACTTATGTTGTGTTTTTTTATGAATATTTATTGACTGCTATAACTTTATTATTAACAGAAAACAGTGTCTACTGACTTTTTGACTAGCCATTTATAAAACGTGGATTATCTATGTCTGCGTGATAATAATTTGAACAATAACCCCATAGAGTTAAAATAAAATTTTTTATTTCAGTAATGTTTTACTCACCCTATAACCAATAATATTTATGTCATAGGTTACCCTGAAAAAAAAATATTCTCTAATAAGAACACCGCTATGTCATAACCGTTACTTTGTATTTCGAATATAACTATTAATAAATAAGGAATAAGCAAGTTGTTGGGTATAAAAAATATTTTACTAAACTCCTAGTAGTCGGCGATAGCCAATTAATGAATTTGACAAATAACGACGCAACTGTGTTCTTTTTATTGTAATCGAACCCTATCAGTAAAGTATTATTATTAGAAAATAGTTGTAGACAAAGACTTTTATTAAGAAGCGCAACCTTTTTAAAAATTGCAAATTTGCAATTCTATCAAAAACTAGTCCTAGGAATAAGTTGCGCCTGGTTTTTTTTAGAAGTATATGTATGTACGGCTAAAATATTAGGTGTGTCTTTCAATTAATTTATGAAATTGAATATAACCCAATAATTTTTTTTAATATAAGTTTTGATTTGTAAATTATATAATTATATTTAAAATTTTGATGATTTAAAACTTGACATCCTTTTATCAAGAATAAATTGATTTATAACACTATGGATTATGATAAAACCATCGACCTATAATATTTTTGAATCGCTTTATAACTCCCGTGAAACCGCATCGAACATTTCTTTGTCCCTTAAAGCCATATTTAACGAAAAATGGAAGGGCTAAAAAATCTATTTCATCCGGTTTGATTAGGGGAACAAAGAATTTTTTTCAGAAAATGCCTGTAAATTTTCCCCGTCATCACTTTTCGATACATGAATGTCTGTCAGATTAGTATCACAATGTTGCGAGAGGCATGGACGAACTTCCGATATGGTTTCACATTATTCACGTGAAATGTCACCGTTATCGTGTAGGTAGAGACTGATAAACACAGATTTTTTTGTCTCGGTATACAAGTAGATAATTTTATGAATGGTTATCAAAAAAGATGTGGACATGTACCTTAGGTACTGCAGATTGTCAGAATTTGCTACCTCAGAAACGATGATAACAGATGCAGAACATAATATATACATTCTGAATCAGAATTTCTGATTATTCTTTTTATTTCTCGTATGTTCTGAGCCCACAATTTTGTCATATTTATAATTTTATTTATATATTTCCTCTTTCTATATATTATCTGCCCTATTATGTCCATCCGTTTACTATTTTTTTTCCGTTAGTTTCTTAACTAATCTAGTACCTTGTATTCTGATGATTTATGTCCAAATCAGTTTAGATGGCTTTTTCATGATTTTATATTATATTTCGGCCTCGTTTCATAAATAATATCTGCAATCTCTCTTAGAAGCTACCAAACGCAAACACTTTCAGTATAAAGAAGCTAAACATCTCTCCTTGTCTGGTTCCTGTGTTAGATAATTCTTTTAGTGTGCATCGTGATTAATTTACAGTTATATAAGGTTTGTCGCTATTTAGAAGAGTAAAAATGAATAAACTCGAAAATTTAAGTGGTAAGATAAATATTTTAAGGCGATATATTTCTATAAAAATAATGAGAGTGAAAGTGACTATGTTGACAACAGCAATTATAATATCGGATGCACAAAAAAAATTAAAGAACAGGAATTTTTACAGGATGGTGGTAATAGTTCAACACTGACAGAATACGTTGAAGTGCGATTTCGAAAATAAACCAAGTACCTTTTCACTTAATTAAGTATAAACATCTTTAATAATAATAATAATAATAACAAGCAAAGGAAATACATCCGACTAATATAGCTGATTGTGAATCAGTTTACTATGTATACATTTTCGATTACGACATCGAACAATATACCAATTATGACATTGGATAATATTTATGAGTTGTTGCTGATTATGACGTCAGGTTATAAACCGATAGATAATTAGATTCCATATGTATACAATCTTGATTTTTATATCGAATAATATTCCGATTATGACATTGGATAGTTATATGAGTTTATGACGTCGGAATATCTTTTGATTGTGACATCAGTTTCATCATGTAAGTATATAAATATCTTTAACAGCGTCATCGAGTTATAGTCCGATTATGATATCAGACAATGGCTTCAGGCTGGCTATAACTTTGTATCTACTAGTTTTACATTTTTTATTAAAGTACCGTTTGTTATCCCTTCATCTTTTTACTGTAGCGAATAAAAAATATAGGTATGGACACGTCAGAAGAATAACATAAAAATACGCGTTAAAGTGCTTACAGTAATAGCCAATAATAAGAAACAATGGAAGCGCTTTGTAAAACATGGTAGACCATAAGCAAGATATTTGAGCAAAATTATGACTATGGCGTTATTTGATGCGGGTACCTAGTTCTATAGCTATTTGAAGTCGAAGTTTGATTCAGATAATTTGTATATTTCATTTTTGTTGATAATGATTATTTGATTATTTTAATTTCAATACTAGATAGTTAAAATAATTTAACATAATTAATGTTTTAAGGTAATGAAATATTTTAAAAAATTTAATCATTAAATTATTTAAATATCAGTTTTTTATTTATGTATTTACTTATTTATTAATTCCAACTTGTAATTTATTCATTAATACTTCGTTAAAACAAACAAACTCCTAAATCTTCGAAACGTCACTTAATCCAAACAGTAACCTATGTAAAAAAAAAACCTTCTACAACTCAATTAGTAGAAAAAATTAAAACTCATTTGTCCCATGCGATTTGGCAATAAATCCTCCAATCAGTACTATATCTTCAAAGAGGCCGAATCATTGTACCTTACGACTTTGTTAATTGATATTGATCATGAAACATTGCCATAAATGTCCGTCGTCTTTTTGATATCGCTGCATTGACCGTGGATGAACAAATCGAGGTGGGACATCAAGGATAGCGCAAGTCAAAGATCCATTACCATTTTGATATCGAAATTGACGAAAATTAAGAAAAAAGTACAAAAATTAACATCAACTAAATAATCATACAAACAAGTTTAACAGATACTTTAGTGAGAAACTATGATAAAAGTTGTATAAAGAAAAACATTTTGACATTCTTTTCGTATGTTCTTTAATCAATATTGATAA